CATCTATTTATATGCAAATATATATGTCCATATCAGCTTAAGGCTTTTCAATAGAGTTTTAGCTCAATTATAGATAATCTGTCATATTTAAATCTGCAATAATCACGTAGCATCAAGAACGTCGGCTTCTGTCATTGTAGTTCTTGCTATATAATGGCCTCACGCAAAATGCGTTTGTCTCAAGAAGCGCCTGAGAACCAAACGATGCGGTGTTTTGTACAGGAAATCATAGATATTTGTATTTGCATATTCAAAAATTCCTAGATGATGCTGATGAAACAACAGCGGGGATTCTGCGCGCAATGAAGCACCTACATCAGGATTTCTAACTGGGCGTCTGAGCGGCGACTTTCACAAAACGCGTAGTAAGCTCAGTTTCGCCACCGTTTCGGAGAAAACTTGTCGAGACGGGCACGTCCATGTGTGCAGGCAGTAGTTGGTCCGCTAACGAACTCCAGTAGCCCGAGCCCCGCTTCGCTAGTCTATGGTACATGTCGTTGGGGTGTACAACGCAGCATCCGCTGCGTTCTAATCGTCACCATAGAGCTATCTGCGATGTCAACTGGGTAGCAAAAGCTTGGTCGAAGTTGCAACGGAGATGCCTCTAACAGTTATTATAAAACTACTATTGTACGGTGCGATCCGACAATGGTTTAGACTATGGTCCCAAGCCGGCACACAGTCTGGCGTAGGGACTCTGTTTGCAAATACCTCCTCTAGCGCTACCCATTCAGCGAATGGCAATGTCATTTACGCCAACAGCTCGACGACGGGGCAGAATGGCATAGGGGGCTATAAGAGAGGACAGGCCACGCGAAAAGAGCTTACCACCGCAACGGCGATGGAGAATTTGGCAACCAACAAGCTTGCTTTTCTCTGAATGGTGAAACGAATGCCCTTATTGTAGGTACACAGTTTGCAACCGACCGAGACTCAACTGCTATACCATTAGACGTGTACTCGCAGACACTCAAATGCCTTTCGGTCGGAGACAACTGGAATAGGTCTTTCCCATGAAACTATTAGGCAACTTGGAGGACAAAGCCCGCCAGCGGAGAGAGGGGCGCTAAAGCAAACCAGCCCTCTCCTTTTACTAATTGCGGCCCGATCAGCCCTCGACAGGAGCCACCGCAGAAGCTTCACTGTATTCTGGCTACGCTTGTTGTAGAGTAACCGCTGCTAGTAATAGAAACCATGTAAACTAGCGTATTTATTATACGCATGCAGCGTCTTAACTGGTAATTCCCGCTACAGGACCTATGCTCCAGCTGACGATCGAACTGATTGTCTACCTGATTACCTGTAGTAGAGACGAACGGATAAATGAGAACAAGCATCGTCGTTAGGACTAGACATCGAAAGAAGAAAAGGCGGACAAATAAAGTATAGAGGAAAATTAGTACGCCACATAATTAGATGCACACATCTGCACAATTGTGTTGACGTCGTCATTCTCATTATGTTCAAATTGGATCGTAAAGCTCATCATTGACGCGATGATTGCCGTTTAATGCCGTTGACGCCGCTGCCGCTGCACTTTGCCGTACGATGCCAATTGTTGATCTTGGTAGCAAGCGACGAAGTCGATCATATTATGATCCGAGCAAGCTGATGATAATGGCGATACTGAATCGATATATCGTTGTGGCACTCATACTGTGGCCGCTGGATCGGCCCCTGGAGAGCCAGAGCGAACCGATGCGCTCTGATGCACGCTCTGGTCGCTCGTGACGATAACAACAACAAGAACAACATCAACAATGCGCCGATGAACTAAAAGATTCTGATCATCCCAGCAACCGCTGCGGTCGCCGACGGACGTCGTTTTGCCTCGCGGTGAATTGAACGTGGACGCCAAATCGGCAGAAGCCGACACAGGAGTCCGCCGCTTACCATCACCGCCACTTTTATTGCTACTGCTGCTGCTGCTGCTGCTGCTGCTACTACTACGCATAGCGTTATAGCTGCCTGAATGAAGCCAACAACAGCTCTCAATGGGTTGAATAAATCGGCTTTGATTGAACCCCATCTGTCCTTTGGCTTTTCCGTCTTAAAAAAACCGCCCATTAGTCAGTCATTACCGACGGACGCGATTTAAAGTGGGCACAAACCAGGCCGCGAGCAAAAACAGGCGAAGATTAGGTTTTGCGACCGATTCTGCCGTTCTGGCTATATAATGCCGATGGCCTAGCAGGCAACTAACGACCCTCCTTAAGATAAAGCTGTTTGATCTGCGTTAATTCTCCCCGTTGGAATTAACATATATTACCGAATGGTATCTCAAAATGGGTGCAGAAGAAAGGCCACGTACCAACTAATATTCGATCTGCAGCTTTGATTGATTTAGGGCTCGATACAGATTATTGTATTGCGTGGCTAACCGAGCGAATAGAGCTTGATTAGGCAGACTTTCTTTGACTATAGTTATTCATCGTCAGTGCGTCCGTCTGTTCGAGCAATGTACTACAGACGTTCACCGAGTATTATTGTATTACATTTAATAAAGTTGAAGTCTCTCGGACGTGGCCTCGCAAGCCAATTCAAAACCTCCCTTGTCCACCTCGTTATTTTACCGTAAAACACCGTTTAAATTGGTTCACTTGCCGACTTTATAAAGCTACCATGCACACAGATCCTGCTGTAGCTCGAAATAATGTGCCTCCTTATACACAGATTATGTGAGAGAAGCACGTTGAACAACATCTCAATAACACCTCGATAACGTCTGCTACGTTCTATAAATTATGAAAGTCCGTTCTTCTTACCACGCAACATCCAACGTCAGACGCACCAGATGATACGATGAACTGATCCGTCATTCATCTTCTCCGAGGGCGCAGAAACGTGGCAGAGGCAACCGTAACCAGAAATGCGGACGCTTTCTGCATCGGCAATAGAAGACAGGTCAGTTGGTTGTTGCTGTTACAACAATACCGTCGGCCTCTTATTAGTCGACGGCAGCAGCGGCGGCGGTTGCTGCTGCGCCGACTAGGCGCACTACTATAGAGTGGTCTGTGGTTGTCGGACAGCCAATCATTGGGGAGGCTGGGGGCTATTGGCTCAGGAATCTAATGACGACGACGACGTCAATCGACCGTAATCGTCAAACAATTCTCGATAATGCTGCTTTGTTAAAAGCAACAAACGTCGTTTTTGTTTCAATCTAACAACCATCGAGTCGGTCGGATAGCTAACACTCAACAACTCCGCTATTGGCTATCGGACAATGCTGATGCGATGACAATGGTAGCTGGAATAGACAAAGTGTTTGATACTTATGGAAAAGAGACAACGGGGGGGAAATGGATGCCTGTCCTGCAGCGCCGTCACCGCCGCTGGACGGCGTCCAGCCCGAAGGAGAAAAGGCAAACGATCTATATATGTAGTTCGAATACGAGTAAGCAATGGAAAAAACAACGCTTAATGCTAGTGTAATGGTAGGAGGCTATATTTAGTCTCGAATAAATCGGCATTCAATATATCTATAGCATATTGTACACTTTACAGCGGCAGAGCATTGTGTCCAGCTACGTATCCATTAGCGGAAGCTAGTGTTCTACCTCGAACGACAATTCCACATTTATTGGGGGCAACAGACTGCTGGTTGACGGGTGGCTTGTAGTAGAACAAATAGCCATCACTATAAATTGGGTTGCGAAAAAAAAGTATTCCCGCCGTTTTCAGGTCAAAATCGAGGCCAATGCATATTCATGTCGTAAAACAATATCACTAAACCGAATATGCGCCCTTTTGATCGATGACCTGCCGCCGCATTTCTGGTCCTACTTCGCTCGTATCGTTGTAGGACTCGTATAGTTGCTGAACCAAAAATATTAGCGAGACCTTTCTGCATCCCTCTATTGAAATTAAATTAACACCATCAATGATACACCATAACGATACAGGATCCGAGCTATACGGCAGATGCATCGAAGTTTCTTAATCAAACTTTCTCAGTTCTCGCTGGCTAGATAAAGATGTCGTTGTCGTGGCGTATTGTCCTATTCACTCACTAGTTCCGGTTGATTGTTCTCAATGGCTTGTTATGATCTTGTCGATTTATTGGCAGTAACGAGCCGACTTTATCATTTTTCGAGACGGCTGCAGTGCACGATCCCTTCCCATTCCTACCGAAGGCCTTTTTTTTTGGCGTCAATCTGGACTTGGCCGCAGATTGCAGCACACGCACATGTTTATTGGCACATGTAGCCTACTTTTCACCACTTGCGGCCAACGGCTTTAGAAATGACTCGAACTCGTTGCGTTCGTGGAGCGTTTCGCAGATGGGAATACGATCAAACAACGTTTTTTGCGTCAGTTCATATGACAATGAAACATCAACAGGTTTAAAGCTATTTAACGCTGGCTGTCTGATCGGCTGGCGATGTCGTAGCTACTCACGGGTCGACTTCACTCAAATTTCTCAATAATTTCATCAACTTTTTGCGCAATTGCCTGACCATTACGAGGAGCATCTTTCACATCGAAGTTTCCAACACGACTATCTTTGGATCGTTTCTTCCGATAACGCATCTTGACCATAAACAGTACAAATGTCTTTCTATGGACCTAGTCGGTAGTGCGCCTTTGACGTAAAGTAGAGCAAATTTTCACAGACATTTCACCCATCTTCAAGGCCCTTTGCCTTAAGTATAAATAGAGGCACCAATATGTCTACTGTTGCAAAATCTCAGCTTTCAAACGACGCCTACGCGACTCATACCGTCTGAGATATAGGCCCTTAAAGCTAAGAAAAAAAAGAGCTAAAAAACGGGCAACACTTTATGTATGTATCGTTATTTGCAGCCAAACATATGTATGCAAGAGACCTATTTGGCTGTTGATAACGCAGTAAATGTTATGTTATCGTATTGGAAAAGATGTAGGTATTGATAGTGCAATGCTATTGATGGCAGCGACTTTCCTCTTGAAAGATGCTATCCCATGCGATGGATGTTCCAGGGTGACCTGTGAACTCTTACAACGTTATCTCTTTGCAGGTAAGTCCTCTTCGTCATCACCAGCCTCGTTCAACTCGGATCAGCAGCAGGAGGTTGATGTTCTAGGAAACTTCGAAGGTACGACGATCTCCGGAGCCGTGAGAGCTTTTAATGATTGGGTACAGATCAGAAAGACATCGGATATTTCTACAATGTAACGATAACAGCCTTAATTCGTTTCTACGCTGCTGATTCAATAAAAAATCAACATGTATATATATACACGCTACAAGAGTCTTTAACATGAGATTTTGCTCCATTATATTGTCCATGTTTGCCAGTGTGTTCATAAATGCTCTAGTGAATACTGTGATGGAAGAGTTGGCGGCATTGCCAGTAATTCTTTATGACTTAAGAAAAGCTCCCATTTTGAAAGCACGCTTTTTTTCAAACTTAGACTGAACTTGAAAGATCATGACGGTTTTGGGGTTCTAATGCTAACTGGTAAGCTTCCCTCCTATCAATCACTATATGTTTCTCATAAGCGTCGACGTGGAATTCACGCATTTCATCTTCGTTTGTTAGGAAACTTTATTGCATTGAGAAAACCGTAGACCAGCAAGTGATCTGCACTGTTGCTCATACGAAACTTCATTAGCAGGTTGTTTTACACTGGCCATCATTTGTTCTCATCTTGAGTATATCGTATTTTTCTTTGCTGTGAAACTGATAGAACAGTCACCTCATCGTGGCTCTCATTGGACAACTTATGACTCCACCGTCCATTTGTTGATCCCCTAGCGAGAATTCTCCATACGACTGGACTAAGTATGCAAATATCTAAAAAGACGATACGAGCAGCAGAGCACGTAGAGGGGACTAAACTTGCTCTTCATATATACAGACGTACGTATTTATTACTAGAAAGAAGAATAGCTACATGGAACCCAATGTATCAGTCGTATTGCACTTCACGGCAATGTATAAGGTTAAATGATGTCCGAGGTGTCGTTCGATCTTGTCTGGCTGCTCGACAGAGTAACGGATAGTCACTCTCACACTTGCACAGGTTTAAGTGGTAACTAGAGCTCGCATGTTCACCTACTTAATAGATGTTTCTGAAGAGTCGCTAGTGGATATTACATTCAGCTCGTCATTGTTGACCGCTTCTGGTTGTGGCGTCTGGGATACTAGATCGACGAACGTCTGTTAATTTCGTTTACTTGTAGGATAGTTCGTGCAGAACCTCTAGTGCCGTCATCCATGGCGGCCTGTGCCTTTGAGGCTCAGTCTTTGACTTGTTGTTGTTATTGTTGATGTTGCTGCTGTTGCCGCGGCGTTCGGGGGTTCACCCTCACAAACGAGCCGACTTCTCAATTGTTGATTCGCCAGGCGAGAAATTACTTAGGTTCCGTTACCTTCGTTTATGCCTTCGCTCGTCCGCTTCTGTAGTCGACACTAGCAGCGTTCTCAATTAGGTGGCCAGAGAAGAAAAGGGGCCGTAGCATTGAAAGCCAATTAGATGAAGCCCAAGCTGCACCGATCGGCGGGCGTTAACAATACCTCAATAATTCTCGCAACACATGCTTAATTTCCTAATGCAAGAAAGGGATTAAGCCAGCAAGTTCGGCACCTCAATCGATACATGTCGTTAATGTCGTTTTCAACTGCGACCAGGTTTATAGACATTTAATAACAGTGGACAATGCAGTGAATGGAAGGTATATGGGTAGTTTGACTGGTGGGTTTGATGTGACAGTGTTTTTTGATGATATGTGCGAAATGCCATGTGCAGATGTAGTATAGGAAAATACGCGCGGCATAGAGTTTATAAGTACATGCATTGTTTTTACAAATGCGATACGCACGATGCTAGTAAAAACGCCCTATGCTAATTTACCCATTCCGCCGATGTCTAGTTACTGTTGCTGCAGTCTCAGTGCTGACGCTCGTTGGTTTTGTGGCGGTACCGCATGAGCGAGTGAGTATCAGGCACCCGATGGCCTCACTGTGAGCTGCGGCAGCTAGCAGACGGAGTGGTCTTTTCTATCATTCAATATGATGATGTTGGAATGAGTACAAATTGTTGCAGCACCTCTTCGACAGCGGCTATGAACCCCTTCGCAGACGATCACTCTGCCATAGCCGATGCACTAGCGTATACAGCCACCGGCAAGGTCGTCAGCGCGTTATAGAACAGAGTCTTTGGCAGGCGGAGTCGTCCTGTCCGTCACTGCAGAACCTAGTGGATATAGGCGGTTAGTAGAGCTCATTCTACTAACATATCCTATGCGCCGTGGGCGTCTGCCGTCTTGTCTCTGCACCTATGTACTATTGCTTGAATTATTTCAGGCATATCGGGACAGCTTCAGGCATCGCTGGCATACTTCTCCAAGTTACTCTAACAGACAACAGTTAACTGGCAATATATTCTATGAGTTCTACGGTCACGACAATGGTCCGATCAGTCAAACTGCTTAGGTTTGTATGAATATAATGTTCGAATATTTGTTGGATACTGCGAACTGGCACCTAGGCACAATAAACACATATTATACACTTATGTGATACGCACCTACTGCATGGAAGTTAATTGGAGAGAGAATGTATATTCATACGTTAGCAGACTTCTGGTAAGGCCTATACCTAAGGACAACAGGCTGTCGGCTACCAGCGGATACCAGCGTTCCCTCAACGAATCGATATAAGACGCCTTCTGAAACAGACTGTTCACCTATCGAGCACACCGAACGTTAAGAAAACAATTAGACACGTCGGTTGGTACCCCAAGGAAAGCCCTAGTTATGTTTTTGTGTCGCACGTTCTGTGCAATGTTATGCTTCTTCCCTGTTTATCCCGCATTCAATAAGTGTGGGTACAACTTTCGCCAAGCCACTAATTTTCTTTTGTCTTCTTTCTTTCGCGTCTCGTCTCCCATTAGAAAGCTAAACGCAAATCTTCGACCCATTTCCGCAAAGACTGCCCTTCAAGTCAGAAGGGCCTGGTAAGCGAACAAGCCTGTTGATTTCAATCGTCCGATTGCAAGCTGCGCTAAAAAAAGGCCTAAAAACAGCAAAATGACTGCAGACAAGGACTGCTTTGGTTCCTTTATGATGACGACGATGATTATTATTATGATTATTCGTTGTATCCCACAACGACCCTCAGTGTATTCCTTGTTCTTCCCTATGGATCATAATGCAGCGAACAAATTCATAGCCATTTCCTCGTCACGTTGCTTCTCCTTGCCACTTACTTGAATCTATCTAGCCTATGATTTACGCTGATCTCATTTTATGATCCGACGATAGTTGGTCGCTCGTTCGACCAAGCGATTGGGGGCAACCCACTGGTCGTCGATAAACTGTTTACAGGGGCCACCGAAATCGCCTTGGCCTGACTTACCGAAAAGTGCGAGCAAATACACCGTTTTATCTATTATCCGCAGTAGCCGAGCGTCACCGAGTGGCGCCAACGTCTGCTGGCCATAAACTCCGTCAGCGGCAAAAAGAGAAAGAGCCATTCTGTACTACTCAGCAGCATTTCATGCTTGCTCAACTCTAGCCCACTCAAATGGATATCTCTGTTAGATCTGCTCGCGTCAGATCAGTAGAATCCACTAAGGTCTGCAGCTCGGAATTCAATAATATATGAGTGCGTACGGCATGAACACCGATCATAAGGGTATTTCATACGAACGCTATGAATCTCGAACGATCGACTGACAAATGGACGAACGAAGGCGCGAATCATATATGCTGAACTATCGAATAGACCGAAGTAACGTTTCACTGATAGTGATAGTGTCTCATAACGACCATGTTTAATACTAATAATACTTACTAACTAATAAACTGATACTGCTGTTGCTTCTGACGTTCGTCTTTAACAAGCTGCGAACTTCGCAGTACTTATGAGGAGGAGCCAAGCACTCACATAAGCTGCCATGCTCGCATCGCCAGCCTATGGTGGTTCTTTATGTTGGCATTATGCTTCCCGCGCTGTAAACTTTTGTTGTTACGCCTTTCATGTTTGACGATCATTATCATTCTTCGACGCGTTCATCTCTGAACTGGGAAGATGATCAGGCCGATGTTTTCCGGTCTTGGAAAGACTTAGTTTTAGGGGCCGGAGGAGAATGTGAGATCACCCCAACGCCGATGGTTCACAAACGTCATCACTAGCATCATCGTGTTGCTTTCGTAGCAGTTGACGCCGCGCCATCGTTTCAGTCGCTGTCGCCGCGATCCCTGCCTACGTCGGCCGCCACTACCGCCAGCATCAACACCGTCACCAACAGTCACCATTTCAGTAATAGTGACGCGCTGCTAATGCTGATGGAGGTGTTGTCTCTTGACTGCTCCGGCTGGTGAGCTGCGGCGATGCCACTCTAGAAGTGGCTCAAACCTTAATGGCGGTTGGATCATGATTATGACGACCATCCAGCTACTGCTGATGACGCTTGTGATGATGACGATGGTCGTGGAGGAACGGAGGGGGAAGGAGGGACGAAGATATGGACGGGGACTTTAATGATGATGGTGGTAATCGTTATGAGAATGTCTCTGAGAATGACGACGTCGCTTTGTTGGTCGGACGGACGACACCGAACGGGAAATGGAAGAGACTCGCAACGATGATGATCTAGTGGGCGGCGGCTTACGATGGTCTATCGCGAGCTAGCGCTGTTCGCCTGCTCTGCTGTTGGTTTGCCGTATGGTGGTGGCGGCGGCGGACAGCAGCGGCGGCTAACGTGCAGTTTGTGTTGTAGTCGTTGGTTCTTGTTGACGCAGTTGTTGCCGCCTAGGCCAAGCTCTAATTGAATTACTACCCTTGATTGTTCGTGCCGCGGACGTGCAGCGACGACGACATGGCCACGCAAGAGGATAGCTCGTGCAGAGTTCCTGGTTGGTTGGTTGGTTTAGCTCACTACAGCTGTTACTGCTACTATTACGACTAGCAGCCAGGTAGTAATAGTTGGCCGTTTCGGCCAGCCAGTGTTGGCTGGGGATGGCCGTTCATCAGGCCGAGCGAGAGCCTCATTTGCTAAATGCACCGCTAATGTCCAACAGCCGCTAAGGCCCACCCAGTTTCAGTCAGTCTCTCAGTCAGCAGACACAGGCATCAGCGATAGCGGA